AAACAAACAAACAAAAAATAAAGTAAAAAGTAGTAAAAATAAAGCTACACACGTAAGACATCATGGCAATAAGTGTATTCACATGAGAGATTCCTGTCACATTTGTTATCAACACAGAGGTTACTTCTTCAGCAGCATCTTTATGTTAGATTAGTGGTTCACCATGAAGTATTTATGGTTAAAAAAACAAAACTAACTCCTGGAATTTGTTTTAAAGTAGCCCGGGGTGGCGGGGAGCAAAGCAGGGAAAACAGATAAAACGAGATTGGAAACTTTAATACCTAAAGAAGTTGGATGGCAGAAGATGGGCAGTTGTTATTACACTCCAACTTTTTGTATGTCTGAAATTTTCCGTAAGTAAATTCTGTTTGCTGGGAGTGTAATTCAGGGGTACAGTGCTTGCCTGGCATTCAGGAAGGGCTGGGTTTGATTCCCAGCACCGCAAAGAGGGAAAAACACGTATTTAAAAAATCTCACTCGGGAGAATAAAACGGACGGTGGGGCAGTGCTTATTCTTTTCAAGATAAGCCCTTCCCGACTTCTTTATCTACCCAAAAAAATCGAGCTAAACGCCCACCGCTGTGCAAAAAGCCTGCCCCTCGTCAGCACTCTGCTGGGAGAGGACAAAAGACTCCCAGTGGAGAGAGAGAGCCTGCCTGCCCCGAACTGCGGGCAGCAAAGAGCTTACCTGCAGTTCTCCTTGAAGCGGCACTTCCCCTCCAGGAAGAACGGGCACGGCTTCAAGGACTTGTGAGTGGGGTACAGGTAGAGCACGCGGACACAGGCTGTGCCATCCTCTGCCTCCTCGCTGCCCACCACCATGGCATTGTGATACTCCAGGGTGCCCCACGCACTGTAGTAGGGGGCGTTCACCTTTGCTCCGTTGAGCTCGTCCTCCTGGTCCTCCTCCTCCTGGTCCTCCTCCTCCTGCCCAGGTTCAGTGGGTTCAGGTGCTGCCTCTCCCTCAGGGCCGGACTCCAGGTCTGCCCTGGGAGTGGCGGGCGCCTCCGCGACCTCGGCAATGGCCTTCTGGAACGCCAGGTACTCGGCGTCCTCCCGGGGTGGGCACTCTTGGTCCAGCGTGGCCAGCAGTTTGCTCTTCCTGACAGACACCAGGCTGGCCTCGGTGAGCTCGATCAGCTCCTTCAGGTCGCCCTGCAGCTGGCGCAGGTCCGCCTGCTCGGAGGCGTCCAGGCCCGCACCCAGGGCCAGCTCCACCTGCCGCAGCTGGCCACGGTAGGTCTGGAGGGCCGTCTCTAGGCTCTCCTCATCCATCCCGACAGACAGGCTGGTTTCTCGGACGGCGGGACCGGTCCCGGAGGAACGGCGCGGCCAGCTGAAGGAAGAGCAGCCAGGTGAGCCCCGGACCCGCGCCCTGCTCGTGAGCCCCAGCCAGCGTCCAGGCGAGAAGGGACGCCTCCCTTAAACGGTGCGAGCTCGCTCACAAAGGGCGACCGCTGGGGGGTAACCGGACTCGGCCCTGCGCGCCGCCCCTCCGCCTCCTCGTCGTGGGACCGCAGCCAGGGTTTGCAATTCGCACACCCGCCGGCCGGCTGGCCCGCCACCCGCCGTTCCGCCGCTCGCCGGCCTGGCCTACAGCCGGAACTTCCTCTCCGGCGCTTCAGCTGCCGGAAGTGCCCGCACGCAGGGGTCACTGCGCGCGGGGGCTGCCGGGACGCGGCTCCGCCCCTGTCCCGTCAGGCGGCGCGGGAGGTCAGCGCCGGGTCAGCGGGGTGAGGGGCGCGACGGCGGCTCTGAGAGTCCGGCGGAGCAGGTTGGCCGCGGCACGGGGCAGGGGCGGCAGGACAGGGTGGCGAGGACGGACGCGGGGTCACAGGGGCGGCGGAAGCGGGGCTGGTGGGGCCGGGATCCCAGGGGTGGGCCGGGCGCAGGCGGCCGGGGCCCGGGGCCCTGTGGCGGGTCCGCGGCGGGAGCCTGGCCTGAGGCGCGGAGCTGGAGCTCGCCAGCCCCGAGCCGTGACTGGGAGCTGTGCTAGTGGGAGGGGAGGCCGAGGAGTGTTTTCAGAGCGGGAGGGACAGGCACGGGCCTGGAGTTTGAAAGGCTGACCGCTGCCGCGAGGGGAACCTCCGCAGTGGGAGCGGCCCGGGAGGAGGTGGTGGCTGGTTGTGGAGGCAGGGTCAGCCCGCGGGGAACGAGGGGTTGGGAGCCACGCTGGCCCCAGATCTAAGCAGCCCGCAGGACGGACGAGCCCTGCGGGGAGGCCAGCGGGAGGCGGGTGCGGGTTGTGCGCGCCACGACTTCTCTTGGGGTGCCCAGGGCAGGATGTACACGCTGCTGTCGGGGCTGTACAAGTACATGTTCCAGAAGGACGAGTACTGCATCCTGATCCTGGGCCTGGACAATGCTGGGAAGACGGTAGGTACCTGCTCCCCTACCAGCGCCGCGCCCTTGCCTGGTGGTCTGGTTTAGCTTTCATCTTGGCAGCTGCAAATTCACTGCCCAGACTGACTCCGAATCCCTCCTGAGGCCACAGGATGGTCTCTGCCAGCTTGTGTGGTTCTGGTGGTGGGGTTGCTACTGGTTGAATCCCCAGTATTTTTATTTTTTGACAGGGTCGCAGTAAGTTGCCAGGGCTGGGCTCCAACTTGCAGTCCTCTTGCCTTACGCTCCCACAGTGCTGGGGGACTGCTGGTGTGTGCCACCATGCTGGCCTCCACTAGCTTCTTGAAGAGCACTTCTGCTTGTTTCATCCTTTCATTTTTTAATGGGTAGACCCAAGAAGGGATATTTGGGGAGCTGACTTGGAAAACTTGCTCTCTAACTGCCTCTTATTATCTCTCCCTCTCTCCTCAGACCTTCCTGGAGCAGTCAAAAACCCGGTTTAACAGGAACTACAAGGGGATGAATCTGTCTAAAATCACTACCACCGTGGGTCTAAATAGTAAGGGGACACTTTAAGGCTTTGGATTTAAGGGGACCCCTAAGGATGCTGTGATGTCCACAGCCTAGTCGGCCAGTGACCAGAGCCCTGAGCCTCTGCTCAACCTCCCTGCCAGGGGCACTAATGTGGTTTACCCTGTCCATGGAAGAGTTGGGACTTGTGTGTCAAGGATTAAGGTCAAAAATTTACCTGTTCTTTCTTCTCCCTAGTTGGCACTGTGGATGTAGGAAAGGCTCGCCTCATGTTCTGGGACTTAGGGGGACAGGAAGAGCTGCAGTCTTTATGGGATAAGGTAAGACATCCACCATCTTTCCCCTTGCCTGGCACTGCCTGCCCCTGTGCAGTTTCTTTCCAGATGGCAACCTTCAGTTTCTTCCTCAGTGAGAGAGCCTGTTACGTACCTTGTTCCTGAGGATTTTCTCCAGTTATTTCCTGCTTATCCCTGTCAAACTCTCAGCCGGAGTCACCACAAAAGTGACAGTAGGGGAGGTCCCACAAAGGCATGCCTGGCCTTCTCCAAGTAGGGCTAGTTGAGATTCCAAAAAAAGAAACACTGCTCACCAGTCAGTATAGGGAACTTACTGGGGTTAACTCAGAGGGGGCTGTAGCCTGTCCTCTGGCAGACAGCAAAGAAAAGGATGTTCAACAAGTACAAGTCCCCAACAGAGGGGCCAGGAATGGGATTTATATGAAAGTTAAGGAATCTCCTTCAGTTTTTTTGAGTGTTTTGGGAAACAACCTAAACATCTTATCAATACCTGGAATATTTAAGGCCCCAGCTTGGGCTCAAACCTGTGGGGAAAATCATGCAGCTGGCTGTTTCACAGAGCCAGCAAGACATCTAAAAACTAAGAGACCCTCAGTTTCTTCCTCAGTGGGGAAGGCACAAGGCCCATGTTTCCTGGTGGGTCAGCCCGCCTGCCTTCTAGCTTATTACCAACTTGTCGTGGTGGCCTCTTCCCTATCTACGGGAGCATATCCTCAAAGGTAGACAGCAGGGGCTGGGGATTTAGCTCAGTGGCACAGCGCCTGCCTGGCAAGGGCAAGGTCGTGAGTTCGATTCCTGGTACCAGAAAAAAACCAAAAATAAAAAAATTTTAAAAAGGTAGATAGCAATTGCCTCCCCTTTTAACAAAGGTTTTAGACATTACCGAGACTACAGTGTGTTATCCCTCACCCTGCATGCCCCTAGAATATAATCTCTGTCCTGCTCAGCCTGTCTCAGACTTTAAATCCAGCACTAAGCAGGATAGACCCAGCTGTTCTGTCAGGGAATACCTGACCCATGGGTTGGCATGGTGGGTATGGGGTAGTTCATGGCTGAATTGCAGATGCGTTGGCCACCCTGATACCTGCCAGTTGCCCTGTGTTAGAACCAATGCCCACATTCTGATTTTGACCCAAGTTCCCTTTCCTAGGACCTACCAAATTATTCCCACCTACCATGACGTCTAGATAAAAGGGTGGCATCTGTCCTGTGACCAGAAAGTTTCTGACATACCCTCTATGGCCACTTAGGTCAGACAAAAGATGAACAAGTTGAGATCTTCTTGGTTCAAATACCTGGTGTATGTGGGTAGTCATACAGGTGATGACATTACTGTCACAGGGTGGGAATAGATGTCAAGATAGGTTGGGTATAGCATGCATATTAAGGATCAGTACCAGGAAGACAGCAGGGAGGGCACAGGGGAAAGGTCAGCTTGGGCGACTGGGTCAGTGAGACAATGGCTGGCCCAATGGGAAGCACTGGAGGAGAGTTGGTTGGTCGTGAATGGACTGTGTCAGCCAGAGCTGGGCAGGACTCCATATTGCTTCCTGTGGGTCACTACTGTGGCAGGTATGACCTGGTAGGGTGCCTCTTAGCAGCCAAAGTGGGAGCCAAAGTTAGGCCATCTACTGTGCACATAGTCTGCTTCTTGGAAGCAAGGCCACACTGGAGCTCACATGCCTGTACTGGCCACAACCCACCTGTACTCTCCTTGGATCTGTGCCTCTGTGTTGGGGAGTAGCTCCTCCTAAGGGAAACTGGCAGAGAAAAGTGAAGGGCTGGGCTGGGGATTTAGCTCAGCGGCAAAAGTGCCTGCCTGGCAAGCGCAAGGTCGTGAGTTCGGTTCCCGGTACCGGAGAAAAACCAAAAAAAAAAAAAAAAAAGTGAAGGGCTGGACTAGAGTCTTTGCATCTCGTGTGGCATTGTGCTCGTCTTTATTACCACTTCTTTTGCTGGGCTGTGACCTCATTCTGGTGGTCTGAGCTCTTTTCCTGAGTTGGCAGCCTTTCTTGCCACCCTAAGCTGTTAACCCTGCCATTGTGGGGTCCATCTGGACACAAGGAGCCCAGCATGCCCCACATAACCATGATTTGTGTCTCGGGTTTGGCTCAGACGGCTGCTTTGGTGGGCAAGGCCCCTAGTCCTATAGACCCCAGAGTTGGGATAGGCAGCCCCTCAGGGTCCTGGGAGAGACGGGAGTAGGAGCTTCTGCTCTCACCCTGGTTCTTGGGTGCTGTGTCCTTATTCAAGCCCAGTGCCTGAGGACAGTCTCCAGTTGGGACACTTGGTCACATCCTGGGATCTGGGCCTCTGGTTTGCTGTCTCCTCATGGGCATGGCAGCTGGCTAAACCCCATATGAGAGTGTCTGGATGGGCAGCCTGTGCTATGAGTGGCTTACAAGGTCCTTTGTTATGGCATGCAATTCATGGGCTGATGTGATGGTACATAGGATCATGTGCTGATGTCTCATACCTGAGGGACCCCCATTGCTCCAGAGAAGACAAACTCCACCCACGGGCCCTCTGATTTCCTTAGGAGATGCCACCCAGCACCGTTGGGCTCATTGGCACTGCTGCTGTTAGGCTGAGCACCTGGTGGTGGCTCCATCAGTCTTGCTCAGTGGTATATGAAGCCTGTCCTATTAGGCCTGTAGTCTCTCACCATGGCTACTGCATCTTCATTGTCCAGCACTACATCACTGTTGAGCTTGCCAAGTCACCTCATCCCCAGTGGATGCTGTAGTGGACCTGGAGATGGATCACTCCATATAACTGCTGCTTCCACCTGCCCCAGGTCTCGAGTAGTTGTGCTGCTGTCCACAGGTCTGCACACATGCCAGTCTCTGGCCATAACTTCTCACACAGGGAGGACCAGCTGGACTGCCTGGTCTCTGTCCACAGGGATGGTATGCCTTAGGCTCTGTCCGAGTTACTTTCTTGTTGCGAGGACAGAATACTTGACACCTACAAGTTAAAGGAGGAAAGGTTTATTTGGCTCACAGTTTGTAGAGGTTTCAGTCCATAGTCGACTGGCTTCAAGGCAGAGTGGCACATGGGAGAGAAGAAAAAATTTAAGATGTGGCAGGCAAGGAGCAGGGGCAAGATTAAGGGAGAAGGAACGATAGCCATGTGCCATTCCAGGTCACACCATGGTGACCATCTCTTCCCACCAGTCTTCATCTCAGCATCACACCCAGCTATAAACACAGTGGTGGGCTACTCCAGGACCACAGACCTATGATCCAGTCATCTCCCAAAAGCCCTACCTGTGAGCACATGAGGCTTTGGAGGGACATCTAGATGTGAGCCCCAGCAGTCTCTGTCCCTTAAGACCTGGCTTGAGAAAGACTAGTGCAGCTACCATATACCTCTGGCCTATCCCAGAGGATGTTCATTTGGGCCAGCCATGAGCCATGCTTGGGTGTTTCCCTCTTTTGCTTACACAAGGTCTCCATGTGGCCACAGATGTGAGCCCTCATTTGGGGGGTTGATGTCCCATTTCCATCTCACTGGCTGCTGCCGGGTTGTCCACCTTTGCCAGGAAGGAATGATGGGCTGCTCTGGCTGCATGTTCCATCAGTCTGGCCTGTGGTTACCATGACACTTCTGCCTTGCTTGGGTCTATGGTACCATGTGCTGATTTGGGGGCTTACTATAAACCCCACAAAGCATCCCTTGAAGGGGGGAGCCCCCCCCCAACTGTGCAGGGCTCCATAGTAAGACCTGCCAGTGCCATGCCTCTGTAGCAAGAGGGCAGTCCACTTTCCAGTAGCCAAAGCAGCTCTCATATGTGGGTCTCACTGCAGAGCCCTGGAAGACATCTGGCTCCACTGTGGAAATTGCAGGTGCTGTAGCTTTTCTATTACAGTGGTGGGGTCCCTAAGGATCTTCCAGAGCCAGCAGGCTGCTGTCTCTCCACCCCTCCTCACCAGCCCTCCTCGTACTGGGGAACAAACCCAGGGCTTTCACACTGAGCTATATTCTAGCCCTTTTTTAAAATTTTGAGGTGGTCTTGCTAAGCTGCCCGGGCTCAGCTTGAGCTTGCAGTCCTCCTGCCTCTCAGCCTCCTCGAGTGCTGGCATTACAGGTGTGGACCACCACTCTTGGCTTCCCATCCTGTTCTCCACTTTCAGGTGCATGTGACACTCACTCCTCCTGCCCTGTCAAACACACCCTTCTCCTAAGTCAGTGTTGAGTTATGTTGTGCTGGGGAGGAGGAGCTGGCCTAACCCTGAGGCCGTAAAACGGCAGGCGTGTCTTGTCTGTGCCTCGTGGATGTGCCTGGGTTAATGATCTTTTCTGATGGGTAGAAATGCACTTCCTAGGCCTGGTCCCTTCTACCGCGTGGGTCTGTAGCTCCTTGCCTGCCATGTGTCTTGCCTGTGGTGCTGGTCTGGCCTGTAGAGGTCTGAGCTCAGCATTTGGCACTGTCCCGGAAAGGGCAGGCAGGCGGCTTAGTAAGCAGCTCTGGGAGGCTCATTGGAGGCACGCCTTGCAGCCACATCTGTGCCAGCCTCCACACGAGTGCCCACATGCACCCTTATGGGAACTGCACTGCCATCTAGGCTCCTCCAGCCCATGCCTTCCCTTTACCTGTTCCTCACCACCGTTGGGCTGAAGGCTGCATGTGTGTTCTCAGGAGCAGCAGATGGGCAGAGGAAGGCCAGCTGCCTCACCAGGGCTCTCAAGGGGCTGGGTACCTTCACTGCTGAATCTACCCCAACCCCAAAGGGCACCCTGCCAGTCTTACAGTTGGAGCCGTGCCTATTCCCAGACCATGGCTCCTGGGGTGGCTGCCAGTTTCTGCCTGTCTTTCCCTCTCGTGGGCCTCTCTTGGTGGCCGTAGTGCAGGGCCTGGCTGAATTTGCCCTTGGCGGGGTGGCAGCTCCAGTCCCAGCTCCCACTGTTTCCTTCCAGTACTATGCGGAATGCCATGGCGTCATCTATGTCATTGACTCCACCGATGAGGAGAGACTGACAGAGTCCAAGCAGGCATTTGGTGAGTGTAGCCTGGTTACACCCAGAAGGGAAAGAGATGATGAAGTCCCAGGCTTTGTAGGGAGGACCCTGGGGAAAGGTCAGGTCCAGTCTGGATGTCCCACATGTCCAGAGCTAGCCTGGAGAGAGGCTGGCCTAGCACCTAGTTGGAAGTGTCCTTGTCCTCACTGAGAGGGCCCCAAGCACACTTTCTGTGATGAAGCGGGAGGAGGAGGGAGCCCTGTACCTTCTGACTGTGCCTGCGGGCCCCTGGGCAGGCCCCGCAGTCAAGGCAGGACGCAGCATGTGAGGTACCCCCTCTCTCACCTCCCCAGAGAAGGTGGTTTCGAGTGAGTCTCTTGATGGTGTCCCCATCCTGGTGCTGGCCAACAAGCAGGATGTAGAGGTGAGCCCTACCCTGCCTCCTCAAAGTTTCTCTAGGGCATGGGGAGGCATCCTCAGGCATGTAGGCCCAGTGTCCACCTCGGTGTACAGAGCCCTTCTCGAGGCCCCTTCTGCCCCAACCCTCAGCACCTCCAGCTTGCTGAGCTCTGTTCCACTCTGGGTGTCACTAGAGCCACCAGTGCTTGGGCAGGCCATCCTCTGCTGGAGATTCTCCCACCCGGGGCACATGGCTGCCCCCTCCCCAGGAAAGGCAGGGACACCTTCTCTCCACTAGAGGGCAGCTGAGCTCTGCCCAGGGTGTGGGGAGACCCAAACAAAAGTTCTGAGCTCAAAGGGCTAGGGTGGGGAGTGCAGGTAGGTAAGGACCAGCATCCATGCCAACCACCCCTCAAGCCAGGGCCCCCTCTGAGGTGATGCTGCCCCAGAACTGCTGGCTACACTAAGTCCCTGGTGTCTTGTGGCGGGGCTCAGCACAGAAGAGGCAGCAAGCAGAGAGGGCTGGGGAGGCTCTGTGCCCAGTGCCTCACGCCCCCCACTCCCTGTGGACCTAGTGCACCTCACCTGCTTCCCAGAGTCTCAGAACCACTAATGAGGGGTGTCTGATAAGGGCAGGAATCGTCCTTAGCTGCCCATGGCTGCTGCTCCTTCCCCTCCCTCATGTCTGCCCTTGGGCCTCACAGCCTCACCTCTGCTCCTTGCCTGGGGCTCACTGTAAAGGCTGTCCTCAGGATCAGGGCAGCTCTGGGTTCCTGGTGACCCCTCGCCGGAGTGTCATGACCAGTCTTGGGTGGACATGGAGTGACTGTGGTATCCTGACTGTGGCCTCTGTATGAGGACTCTGGCATCCTGGGAGGGCCTTGCTTCACGTGGTCCTCTGGGGCGAGGGTCTGGCACCCTCTGAAAGCACCGGGCTGAAGGCTAAAGCGGGGCAGGCCATGGGCTGCTCCTCAGAGCCTTGCCTCCTCCACCAGACGTGCCTCTCAATCCCTGACATCAAGACCGCATTTAGCGACTGCACCTGTAAGATCGGCAGGCGAGACTGTCTGACCCAGGCCTGCTCTGCACTCACCGGGTGAGTGCAGGCTCCCCCGCTTAGGGGTCTTGGGACCAGAGCCAGCCCTCGCTTACACCCACTGTCTCTGCAGCAAAGGAGTACGTGAAGGCATTGAATGGATGGTGAAGTGCGTCGTGCGAAACGTCCACCGGCCGCCACGGCAGAGAGACATCACGTAGGCACAGCCAGCTCTGCCGTCTTGGACGGTTCATCCCCTAGTGCTGGAGGAGCGTGCTCCCTGCTGGCTCCTATGCCACTGATCCTGGGGGTTGGGTTTGCTTTGCCCTTTGGTTCTTTTATTCACTTTATGTTTTCTCTAAGACAAATTTTTTTCTGTGTCTGGAAAAGTGTAGGTATCCAGAGGCTTTTGCCAGGGGTCATGGGCAGCTGAGTCTGCCTGACTCCATGTTGGCCACTGTAGGCCTTAGGTCCTGCCTGACACTCCCGAGGGCCCTGGAGCCCTCTTCAGCCCAGACTGAGGAGGGTGGGAGGCAAGGTCTTGGCTGGACAGGCCTCCCCAGGCCTGCCTGCCACCCAGGGGGAGTCTAAAAGAGCTGTGTCAGAGGTGGGAGTTTGGCTGTGGCAGCTGCTTTGTCTCATTTGCCCATGGAAGAGGTAGATGCGACGGTGGCTTGTCCTGGAGCAGGTGTGGGGGCGAGTATTCCCTTGAAGAAGATCTAGTCCAGATGGCCGCAGGCCAGGAGGGCCCTGGGTTTTGCTGCAACCTCAGGACAGGGATAAGACGACATGGAAGCCATACCTACCCATTGACCCATTCTTACCTCATTTTAATGTCACAGGGAGTGGAGTAACACGGGGAGGTTGAGCTGGGTGCCTGTGTCTTTATGCCCCTGCCCCACTCTGGCAGATTGGGCAGTGTACCTGGGGGCATTTGGGTGGTACCTAGGGCATCTGGTTGAGTAAGGTGGGCTGGGTTCCCACAGAGCCCAGGTCAGCGGTGCATTGGGTATGCATACCTGGCCCTGACTGGCCATGAGGGGAGGGTCCCAGATATGCCCTGGGAACAGGTGTTGGGATACCCTCTGGGGAGCAGTGGCCCTGCAGGTAAGCTGCTCTCTGACCTGCCTACGCAGCACTACTTGGGAAACTGGCTGACTGCTGTCCCATTCCCGTGTGGACAGGGTAAGAATGCAAAATAAAGACTGCCTGACTGGCTCCTGTCCATCCATCCCTCCAGACAGCCCAAAGACAGAATTCTTTGCTGTCCAGACATAGTTACTACAGCAGACAGTTGCCACCCTTGGGTGCCAGGGGACTGGCGAGTTATGGCCTGACTGCCTGGGCACTCTCATCCAACTGCTGCAGGAATTGTCCTGGCCAGGGCACCGGAGATCTGGTGGCTCTTTGTCTAAGGTCAGGTCACAGCAGACTGCTTCCTCCCCTGGGGACCCTGAGAGGAGGCTGGGAAAGGTATGAATCGGCAGCTAGCAGGTGTGTCAAGGTGCAGTTTCCATGACTCACAGGGAGGCCCCTTTCCCCTCACTGGGGACCTGGTGGTGTCACATAGGTTGGTTCCCAGGACCTGCAGGAAGGGCTGAGCCTCCAGCCTTGGGAAGGACCTGGCTGCCATGGAGGACGAGGGGGTGGTAGGACAGTCCTCCAGGTCAGTCTGGACAGAATGGAACTTCCTCGGAGCCTCAGAAGACTTGGAGACTGGGGGCTAGCCTTGGGTGGACCCCTTGGAGATCCAAGACATCTGGAACAATGCCATTGCTTGCCACCAAGCAACACTATCCAGCCACAAGCAAGAGTGGGGGCTAACAGAGGAAGTGGGGGCATACCCTGCAGGCAGGGAGAGTGGGCTCAGGCCCATGTCACTGCTGCTCCTACCAGGACTGATCGTCCCCAGCCAGCACAGGAAGTGGATGGTGGTCTGCTTTAAGGTCTGAGGGGTGGGGTGTGGGTTAGGAAATATCAAAGGTGTGACCGTTCTTCCCAGGCATCCCTGCACTCCAAGGGTAGAGGCACAACTTGAGGGTATCAGGTTTAAGTGGCTTTATAAAATAAACTTTGCTCAGTCTCTGGTGTGGTTGACAGCCATACTGGTGCAGGACTAAGTGAGAAGTGCACCGTATGGAATAAATATGCCGAAAAGCTGGGACTCAGTCAGCTGGGAGGAAGCGAGCATGGACGCTACGCTGCAGGGACTGCAGCCCGGCTGCACGCAGAGCTGCCAGCAGCTGCGGGAGCAGTGGCACGTGCCGCGCCTTGCTGAGCTCAGAGAGCCGTCTCCGCAGCTTCATCTGCAGGGCTGCGCGGCCCTCCCTGGATGGCGACAGACTCCAATCAGCTGGTTCCCCTAGGGCCTGCTGCAGTCGCTGCAGCCTTTTGAAGGAAATGTCTTGGAAAGCCACGAAGTCGATGACGGCGCGCTCGCACTCCTCTGTCCCTGCAGAAGAGGGGAGGACACACGTCACTGAGTTCACAGAACAAAACTGCACTGAGCAAGCGATGGAAACTTCAGCTGTGCTGGGGAATACTGGGCAAAGGTGGAGAGCAGGAAGCCATCCACTTGCACTCCTGGCCAAGGTGCTTTAGGGCCAGTGTGTGGGGAGCTACACGGGATGCCCAGGGCGAGTAGGGGCGGGGCCGAGGATCGGCCCCTTCCCTGGTAGGCTCTCCTACCTCTAGCTCTCAAGGAGTGTTTTCTAGTGCTGCCTCAGGGGTGGCAAAGTGTGCCCATGGGGCCTCAGGTGAGGCTCCGCCCAACCTGCATCTTCATCCTCTGCCACCCCCGGGAAGAAGTCCCCGCCTCCACAAAGCTGCAGACCCTAAGTAGCTGCTCCCACCCTTCCCCCACCCTGGCTCACCTGGCTCTCCAGGCCCATCAGTGCCAAGCGGGAAGCCAGTGCAGTTGGTGCACAGGGTATCTCGGGAGGAGGAGCCTGGCACATTGAGGGCCAGGCCCAGAGCTGTGCAGTTGCGGTGGGGGCGGCACTGCTCTGAGCTCGAGCTGCTGGCTGAGAAAGTTCCTGCTGGACAGGGCTGGCACTGCGTGTTCTGACTAGGAGTCCCTGGCAGGAAGAAGGCAGGGTCAGTTGGGGTGCCCTTGTCCATTTCCCGCTCCCGCACCCCTCTCCACGCCTACCACCCACCAGGGGCAGTCACTCCGGCACCGGGCGGACACTGCGTGTGCTCCAGGCAGAAGCCTGCGTGTGCGAAGAAACCCCGGCGGCAGCGGCAGGCACGGTTGTGGGTGGCGCTGCACTGCCGGGCCTCTTCCTCGTGCTCCCCGCAGATGATATTGCAGTAGCGGCAGCGCTCCAAGTAGTTCCAGAATTGCGTGTAGTGACGCGGCGGGCAGGCCCCACACGTCGTGGGCTGGTCGCGGCGGCACGGCTGCTGCACGAAAGTGCCCGGGGGACACTGGGCGCAGGTCAGCCACTCTTGCGTCGCCGTGTCCTGCCACAGGTACGTGGGTGTATCCGCCACCCCGCGCATGGCCATCGCTAGCAGCAGGGTCGGCAATGCCCACGGCGGGGGCAAGGATGATCGACTCTGACTCTCTGGCGCCCTCATGGTCCTCTGGGGGTCAGGATGAGCCCTTGCCAGCCTTGCCGAATGTAGGCCGGGATCTCTGCCCCACACACTCCAGCTCGGCTGCTAGGCAGCAAGTATATGGGACACGTAGGGCGGGCCAACCTCGTCACACCCTGCGGGAACCCCCTACTTCCACCCCCAACCCTCCCCACCCACCAACTGCCCCTACTCCTGGGCACCCCTCCCAGAACCGCCTTGGACTGAGCCCTGGGGTGTGGTCGGCGCCAGCGGTTGAGGGTGATGGGAGGGCAATTCTGCCCATAGACCAGTGCTTGTAGGGCTTGCTCAAAGTGATAAACAGGGTGCCACTGCCAGCAGTTTTTATTAGATCTGTCCCTGAATGACAGCAGTCACACAGCTGAAACAGCAGCTCTCACGAGCCAGCAGCAGGGAAATCTCTGGGAAGGAGACATCTTCCAGGTGACCACCTAGGCTTTGAGGTTTCTCAGGGGTGGCCCCAGATCCCAAGTCACAGCTCCCACCTGACTGAAGCCTGCAATGGGCCTGGCACTTAGCACCAGGCCAGCCTCCCTATCAGGATGTGGATGGAGGCCCATAGCCCGCAACAGGGCTGGACCAGCCAGCATGGAGCCGTGTCAGGGGCCTGCAGCATCTCCATGGATGCTCACTGGAGCTTCGGCCAGAAGACCTGTGTGAGGCTCTGCTTCCTGATGGCAGCAAAGCAGGCTGGACATGTCCTAGAGGGCTGTGGAGACACAGGACACGGGGCATGCCTGCTGGGTACTGCAACTGCTGAAAGCACACCCCCACCCCCCTTGGCTGAACACCTAGGACGATGCCTGGTTAGGACCCAAGAGCCAGGCACCAACCTGGAGGTGCTGTTGCCAGCAGGCCTGGCAGCAGTGCAAGTCACAGGAGAGGCACTGGAAGGTCACTGTGTTCTCTGCCCTGCAGCCTGGGCACGAGAAGCCTGCTGCAAAAGGCCTGCTTGAGTTTGCTGGGCCTGCTCCAGGACACCCCCAAGCCTAGTAGTCCCTACAGCCATTCCTATGGTTTACCATGGTTAGGAAGGCCAGGGGGCAAGTTAGGCTCCTCATGCTCATCTGGTGTATGTTTAAAGAAAGAGAAGATCTTGCTGTGGGTCCTTCTGGGTCTCTGTAACTGTGAGGGGCCTGCAGATGAGAGTCAGAGGTTGTCAGGTGCATCCTCCTGATCCCCTGGAGGCTGACAGGGCAGGGTGGAGGAACAGGCTGGCAAACTTCCCACCTGGTTGGGGAGCACCATTGGTGAGCTCCAGAGGCGTGGTGGGGTTCTCCTCCTGGAGGCCCAGTAGTTCTGTGCCTGAGACAGGCAGGCCCATCAAGTCTGCACAGGTCTGTAGGAAGCGCTGCTTGTGGTGGGGACGCACAAACATGCTGAATCCTGCAGAGAGCTTGGTTCAGCCTGAGCTCTTTCCTAAACACGGCCTAGCCCTGCCCACCCCTTTCCCCACTGCACTCTTGTCCCACTTCACCCCCAGTAGGGGCCACTTGCTTTGCAACAGGGGGAGGTCCTCGGGCCTTGCAGTGGTCAGTGCAGCAAGCACAGCTAGCACTTGGTTGAGGTTGTCATCCTGTTTGTATGCCTTCAGTGCTGCCAAGAGCTGGCTGCAGCCTGCGGACCCCAGGGCCTTGCGGACATCTGCCAGGTAGGCACTCACAGCAGACTGGCCCTGCTTGTTTACTCTGGATCGCACTTGTGGACAGCTGTGGGTGTCTCCTAGGGGGATGTGCACAACATGGCTTGGGCACAGTGTTGGGGGTTGAGTGTCCCTCCCACCTCTGCCTACCCTTCCTCCCCGGAATCACTGGAAAGCCCTTCACACTGGTTGGCATGCAGAACTGAGAGTGGTACAGGAAAACCTGAGGCACACACAGTGCCCTTTTCCTCCATGGACGGCTCTGATTCAAAGCTGTTCTTAAGCCAGCTTAAGAACACATGTGACATATGATCCCCTTAGAACTGTAGGCCTGACCTGGGGTCCGCAGAAGCTAGATACCTGTGGGGGGTGGCCTGGTGGATAGGTGAGGCCCACCCTGGTTCAGGTGCACTCCAGGATCTAGCTGCCTGGCCACCTCCTTGGATTGGGTTAGCTTGAGCTCAGAATCCTTCTTTCCTGAAGACACATGCTCCTGAGGACCTGGGAGTCCCAGGACAGAAGGCAGGCCTGGCTGAGGGTGACCAGGACTTGCAACCCTCCTCGACCTGACACACATAAGCCTTGGGCACTTGGGGAAGCTGCTAGTTCCACTGGGAAGGGCAGGGCTGTCCCTCAGCGCAGGACTGGAGCAGTGGGGACAGCTGGGGTACAGATCATCCCAGTGGGCACCAAGCGCTGAGGGTGGGGTCTCTCTGACAGCTGAGGCCTCTCTGGGTAAGCCTGTGCTGGGGAACCCTGAGGTGGGCTGATCTTCAGCAAGCATGGAGACAGGCGCTGTCTCTCAATGGACTCTCAGCTCTGCCTAGACAGAGGCAGGAAGACGAGCAGACAGGTAGTGCAGGACCATGGCACATGTACCCGACATCACAAATGCAGGTCTCTCAGGGAAGCCTGGACTCAGCACTGTGCAAGGTGAGGGGGCAGGGCTCGCCCCACAATGACCTTATCATCCCCCAGAGGAGCAGGGAAGCTGGGCCAAGCCCAACCCACCCACGAGTCCAGGTGCCCCCACTCCTTGGTCTGGCCACTCACCACTGGCTTCCAGGGCTGGCACTGCCTGCTGCCTGTGGGGAAGGCCAGGCTCTGTCCGGCTGCTGCAGCCTTGACCAGTGAGCTGAATGCAGATGTCCTCAAACTGCCGTTTGTGGTGGGGCCGCACAAACTGGTAAAAGCCTGTTGGTGGGGGGTGAGTCTGGACCTGTGGGCTCCCTGCCCTTCAGCCACTGGGCTGGGGACCCTGGGGACCACAGGCCGTCCTCTTAGCCTGTTCCAGAAAGCAGGAACAACCTTGGGCCTTAGTAGCCTTATGCCCATCCTGGTAGCCCCCACCCTTCCCACAGCTGTGGCCTGTGCATGGCAGAGCCTTCTGCAGGCCAAGGCACCTTGGAGCAGGGTGTGCTTCTTGGGGTCTTCACCAAAGAGGCAGCTGAGGCAGGCCACCAGTGCTTTTAAGTCATCAGAACTCTTGTAGACCTTCAGGGCCTGGGTAAAAGTATCGAAACTGGCTTGGCTCAGTGTCTGCTTCACAGCCACCATGAACAGCTTCGCTCTCTCTTCTTGTGTACCAGCCGCCGGCTCCTCCTGATAGACACATGGTCAAGGCTGCTGTCAGGACCAGCCCTGTCCCACCTGCCCTTGGGGCACTGCAGACCCCAAGACTCCCAGGATGGTAGGTGCTACTGCCTGGTGAGGAGCAGAGGGTGGAAAAACAGCTGCAGTACTGGGGCATGGTTGGGACTCAGCCTGGCTAGGGTCACAAAGAAGCAGTCAGGAGGCCCGCAATCCACCGTGCCACCCTGCTCCTCCCCACAGCAGGTGCAACTAGAGTGGAGCTCTGAGAACCAGTAGCTCACAGCAAGAGGCATGCTCAACAGGCTGCACCCCACTTCTGCATGTCTCAGACCTGAAGAAACCAAAGCAAGGATGGTCCAGGCAGTGCCCACACTCCATCCTGCCCTGCCCAGCCCAGCCCAGCCCAGCCCAGCCCATCAGCAGCCAGTCCACTTCCTGCAGGCACCAGCCCTCACTGGGCACTGCTGGGTTCTTCCCAGAAGCTGAGGGACATGGACAAACTTGGGGCTTTCCAACAGGCAAAGGGGCTTCCTGCCTCAGCTTGCAAATCAGTTGCTTTTATCATGAGACTGGAGACATGGGGACTTTTATCTGAGACTGGGTACTGCCCCACACAGGCCGGAGCTATAGCTCAGGAAAAGCTGGAGTCAAGTGGACAGTGGCCCACCATAGCAGGAGGAATCATGGGTAGCTGCAGGCCCCAACAGAATGTGTCCAGGGGCTGTGCCACACTGTGGCTGGAAAAGGAAGATAGGCTCTATGCCACCCACAGAAGGATCTGCAAACTGAAGCCCCCTCGGCTGTCAACATTACAGCTACCCAAGAAGTCCATTTCCCTGGGCTGCTCTGGCTCACACCTGCTTGTTTGGGGGCCACCCGTTCAGATGCCAGATTTCTAGAGTGATGTGAGCAGCCAAGCAGGCTGCAGCAAGGGCCACATACCCGGCGGGTGACCAGCCTGACCTTCCTCCTTCCTCCTCTCTGCTCATCAGCCAGCCTCTTCTCACACTGAAGAGCCAGGGTAGAGTGACCAGGTGCCTGCAAGGGACACAGCTGTGGCTTCAACCCAAACCCTGAGGGCACCTGTTACACCCCCCTGGGATCCCTGATAACAGCCTGAACCAAGCCCAGTAGGGGAACCCACACCATCTTCTGAGTTATGTGACCACCCCCATGGCTTGCAGGTAGCAGTGTGTGCGAACAGCCACAGGGACAGTTTTGGCTCTAGAACGTGAGCACAGGCTCACTTTGGGGGCCTGCAGAGCAGGAATGGGGAAGGGATGGCTCCCAGAAAGAAGCAGGAAGGAGCTCCAAGTGAGACTCAGGAAATTATGGGCTACTAGGCAAAGGCCAGAGGGAGAAGGAAGGAACTCGGGGTCCCATCCTACAGACCAGGCCTTGGGAAAGGTCAGCTTCAGGTGCAGCAGGTAGCAGGAAGCACCAGGCCTTGTGGACTGTGCCAGGATGACCTGCCAGGGAACCAGTGTAGTGGGGGCTGCCTGAGGGCCAGGGTGTACCTCCACGGGGAGCCAGTGGTCTGGGGCTATGGGCACAGCCTAACTGGGCGTGCCATTTGTCCACCTGCCCACTGGGAAGTGGACTCAGGAGTACACAGAAAGGTGCCAAGGCCAAATGGGCAGAGCCTGGCCCTCAGGAGCTGAGGGCCTATGTCATCCTCAAGCATCGCCCTCGCTGCCCCAGACCACCTTCTTCCCAGGGTAGGCCTCATCCTCAGGTGCCTCAGCCTTCTGCTCGCTGTGCTCCAGGGCAGCCAGCAGCCCCTTAGGCCTCCTCTGGGCAGGGACTGCCTCTTGCTCATACTCCACACACAAGTTGTGCTCAGGGTCCTCCACAGCCAGCAGTCCTGCAGGAGCATTGGTATGGCAGCATTTATGGGGGCGGGGAGCAGCCTATAGGAAACAACTACTGCCAGGCAGACTCCTGCCTCTGCCCTGCACGGCCCCCACCCAGCTGCACCTGGCCCCACACACCTGCTGGCTCCTGCCTCAGGCTGGGCACGTGCACATCTAGACTTGTGGCTTTTCTGGTGGACAGGAGGGGTCCAGGTGATGAGGCCACCTTGGCAGCAGCTTCTCCCTCACCCGTACCTGGGGCCAGAGCCTTGGGGACTGGAGCAGGCATCTGCAGAGCAAAGGGTTTATGAGGTCTTCTTCTGTTGCTCTTTGAGGTGGGGGGACATCCATCCCCACCTTGGCCAGAGTGGGAAGCACAGCCAGGTGGGCATTTAGACACTCACAATTTTCTGAGCAACACGGAAGAACTGCGCTACATCTCGGATGACATGGCCAAAGTTGTCGTACACCTTGAGGTAGGGGCGTACCCATGAGGGCAGCTGGGCTTTGGCGTCTGCATAGGCGAACCTGGAGGGTATGTAGTCATCAGCTAAGGGTCCTCTGCTCAAGGGCCCAAGGCCATCCCTGCCCTGTAGCCTACTCCACTCCACATAGGTCTCCAAGTGGAGCCAGGAAGCTCAGACCCCACAGAGTCAGAGGCTGCCATGGGCTTCATGCAAGGGAAGAGGGTCCAGGGCACAGAAAGGACGTTGAGCAGTAGGAGTGTCTGGGGTGGCTGGGGGGAGCCCATTTGTACCTGTGGTCACACAAGAAGATGGCCCCATAGTCATGGCGGTGCCTGATGACTCGCCCAATGGCCTGGTTCACGGCCCTGGATGCCTGCTGCCGATACCACTCTTGCCCTGAAAGGAACTACAGGGCGAGAGTCTCAACCACAGGGACTCTTGGTCGCTGGGTTCTTGCTTTTCCCCTGCCCCTGGGTCTGTGGTGTCTCACCTGACCTCCAGCTTGGCTCTGGCCTCTCATCTCATCCAGGAACTGCATCTTGAGGACAACCCGGGGGTCCATACGTGGTGGGTATGGGAGGCCAGTGATAATCACACCACGGCCATTTGTGTCTGAGAAGTCCAGCCCCTCGCTGGCCTAGGACGCAGGCCCAGGAACTGCTTGGGCACTCCTCTTTCCCACTTGCCTCCACCCAAGCTTGACACTTTTCCTCAAGGTCTGTCTGCACCCCAATCCTCCAGCCACCTCTCCCTACAATGGGCAAGGGTAGAAGGAAGCTCCTTTCTTGAGCCAGGCCCATAGCTCCCAGAACCCCATGGCCAGCCCTCCCTTACTCAGCATCTCCTGGGTCTTGCCTCTCCTCAGCCTGTGCCAGTGCCCCCCACGGTTCATGGCACCTTTCCCTCCTGTCTGCTCAGCGCAGGGCCAAGGCAGGGGGCCAGCCTGCGCCCCTGGGCCAAGTCTGCTGATAGCCCCCAGCTCCCACCAGAAGCCTGGCAGGGGGAGGGCGACTCGCAAAGGTCTCACCTTGCCCCGGCACACTGCAAGGAAGGTGGCCCCACTGGACCCAGGGGAGGTGACCCGTTGGTAATAAGCATCGATGACCTAGGAGAGGGTGGTTAGCCCGAGCTCTGAGCCCCAGCCCCTTCCTCCTCCTTGAGTCATGGTGTTCCCACCTCTCATCCTGAGATGATAGCATCATCCCAGTCCCAAGTGACTCACACACAGCACCCAAAGACCGGTCACTGTTTTCTAGTGAACACAGGGAACCTCCAGCTGAGGGCAGCTGAGGGCAGCTGAGGGCAAGAGCTCAGCTGCCATTGTTACCATGTCCAAATGCTTTTAGCAGTTTTCTAAACAGCGACACACAAGCACAGGGAGGAAGCACAGACTCCTGAAGGGGTGCCGGGTACCAGCCAGAGCCCCAGGTCAGGGAGGGGGGCAATCCCAGGAGGGTCGAGGGGCAGTGGGGGCAGCAGCCTCAGACTCCAGATTGAGCACAGACCTCTGAGAAGCTGACTTTGCTCCTAGGCTCCACAAACAGAGGTTTCAGTGCCTCCATCTTCCTGGCCAAGTCTCGGGCCTGTGGGAGGAGGTCAGGGTGTGGATAGGCCCGTCACTCCACCTGCCAGACCTGTGCAAGCGGGAGGCCTGCCACTGCCTCCTCTGCACCCTGGCACTGCCCACCCACCTTGCCTAGACACTTGGCCACTGAGGCGCCCCCTCCCCCAAGAACTCAGAGAGGGGCTGTACCCGCCAGAACTCCAGGCTTTTCTCCATGACAGGGTAGGAAGGGAAGAAGACCAGGAGCCCATGGGGCACCACACGGGCGATGTTGCCTGGAGGCACATGACTGTGGTCAGGTTAGGCGCCTGGTATCTGCAGACTTCCACCAGCCCTTGGGAAGAGCGACTGGGTATGCTGCTGGCCCCAATGGGACAGCTGGGGACGAGGGCCTCCAAAAGGAGACAGGCTCCCATGTGGAGCACACATACCCAGAGTCTTCCCCAGGGAGGACAAGTACTCCTCAGAAAACCTGCACAAAGCCAGAGGGGTATCTACTGTGAGTCCCAGGGCTCAGCCCCAGCTCCCACGCCCTCACCAGACAGGCCCAATGCCAGAACCCCTTACCGCCTGTCAAACGCAGAGCTCAGCTCAGCTCCATCGGGGCCTCTGGGGATAACCCCCACCCAGAGCTGGTGCTGGTCGATGACATGTGGGTTCTCCAAGCAGACTGGGAAGGGGCTGGGACAGACAATGGGCGGCCCCTCAGGTCCAGGTCCCCAGAACCCTGGCCTACAACTGCAGGCCAGCACTCCCCACACCCAGCATGTCCCCATACTCAGCCCGTACATCTGCATCTCCAGGGTGAAGGAGGACAGGGGCGCCAAGGTGCCACTGGTGAGGATGAGGGTACGCACACCCTGCCCAACCAGTTCCCGCATGCTGTGGCCTGGGCTGAAGCACCAGTAGCTCAGTACCTTCCCTGCAGGGGAATGGGATATAAGGACAGCACTGGGACAGCACTGTCATCTTCACCACCCACCAGCAGTTACAAGGGCCCAGAGTGTAGCAGTCAGAACAAAAGTTCTCCTCTGAGACTGAGGAGACTGAGTTCAGCCTGCAGGCTGGACTCCTCTGTCAGAAGGTTGGGGAAAAGAAAAAAAAAAAGAAGTCTGGGGAGCAGAAGTCAGGCCTAAGAGAATGCTAGGTGACACCTAGACAGAGGTTAGCCAATCCTAACCCCAAATTTCTGCAGAAATTGTGGCATGAGGCACAGGGCTCAGAGACACTCTGCCAAAAGCACATGGGAAGGAAACTATTTGACCTCCTGAAATTCCAAGCACAATGACAAAAGAGAGAAAGAGAGCAAGTTCCCAGACTGGTCACGTCAGCATCAAGCAGGGTCACTGGTTCAGAGGAAGCCCACAGTTCCTTGCAGTGCCTGGCTGACTGGAGCACAGCCAACTTGCTCCAGAGACCAGGAAGCTCCGGAAATTAACACAGCACCCCCAGAAAGACTAAATGACACTCTGAAGGCAGGACCAGGCGCCAGCAGGGACAAGGGCAAATTTCCTGAAAAAGGCAAAGCCACATTTTCAGGCCTGAGAAGTTTTGTCAATCCCAGGATGGAATCTGCCCTGTCTGGGGCTGCCTTGCAAGGGGCCATCCACCTCAATGACCTAGTTTCCTAGAAACACCCTACCCAGAGAGGGCTACTTCTGAGAAGTCATATGATTTCAGAGGTACAGCAGAGCTACACCCTACTTGGCCTCTCAGCACCTGAGCAACCCACAGGATTCCCATGGCCTCACAAGTACTGTCCCCAGCCTCAGGTTAGACACTTCCTGGGAGGAGAGGCCATGCTACAAGGCCTTGAGGGCTCAGAGAACCTGGCCACACCACACCTCAGGCTGATCTTGCCCAGCCTTACCCCATCTCTTCCCACCAGGCTAGGCACATGCAAACCTTAGCACCCACACTCTCTCCAAGGGAGCTGCTTCTGCTAAGCCCATGACCTGAGTCAGCCAGCAGCCAGAGAAAGAGCAGTCCACAAAACAGAAGGGCATACACAGAAGCCCACAGGCAAACGCAGCACTGGACCTGGGGGCTGAAGGGTACCTAACAGCTCCCAGGAGTCCCAGTCTCAAAGCCACACTCGCTGCTGACCACCAGGACTAAATACCATGCGAGGCAGGTAGGACGGGTTGCACCCAGGGCCTGTCTGTCTAGCCCCTCCCCAAGCCCACTCTAAGACACCAAACATAAGAGAAGCCCAGCAGACACGAGAGAGGCTTGAGCTCACCACAGGCAACAGGGTCAGCCTCTTGCCTTTCAGACATGGCCCTGGTGCCTAAGAAGTGGTCTCCTGGCAGTGGGGAACAGGGCCTGCAGGGCCTCTCCGTCGTGCTGGCGGGACAAGGGATGAGAGCAGGCCTGCACTGACTGGCCTTGGCCAATGAGTACATCCAGGGAGGGCAGAAGGCCCTCTGCCAGTTCTGCTGCTGTCCAGCGACTGTCCGCACGTGACTGGGCTGTCACAGTATGTTCAGGCCTCCTTCAAGGTCTCTCTTACTTTCAGAAGGCAAGCGAGGAGGCCACAGATGTGCTTGGCCCAAGCAAGTGGTACTGTTGGGTATGCACTGTGGCCAGGCAGAGAGGCAGGCCCGGCCCCCAGGCCCTGTACCTTGCTTTCTAGAGGCAGTCGAGCTCCAGGCATCCGAGCGCTGAGCTGCCCTCCAGGGTCCAGTGTCAGGGTGTATGTGCACCTGGAGGGTGAGCACATACAGCGAGCTGAGGCCCTAAGTGGGTCCCAGAGACAGCCCCAGTCCTGCTCCTGTCCTGGAGGCAGCTCCCACCTTGTAGGACTGTGAGGTTCCTGGGCTGCCCTCAGCAGGGTCCAAACTGAACACGATCTGAAAGGCAAGAAGGTAGAGCACACAGGTCAAAACCTGAGGTAAGAGGACAGGGAAACTGAAGCCTCTTGGCCCAGCACACAGGACCCCTGAGACCGTCCTGTCCTCTGCATCACCCCACACTCACCCACAGGCGAGGGGCCCATCAGGTCCTGCCATCCAACCTGATGCAGCCTCAGGCCAGGTGGCAGCAGCTCACTCTGCCTGTCTTCTCTCCTCCCAGGGGCAACCTCTGTACATCAGGAAGGCAGCACCCTGTGAGACTTCCCCTCCAGCCAACACAGCCACCCTCTCTATGAGCCCCTCAGGACCCTAGAATAATCTGGAAATGTAGTAAATCCTGCTTAAGACCACACAGAATTCCTACAGGACACGAACAAGATGACATCAAAATTCACCCAGGAGAGAAGACACTAAGACAAGTTTCAGAGCAACAAAAAGGAACTTGTTTCAGCCAATATCAGAGCCTACTTGAACTGCAGCAAATAAGAGTGAGGAATAAAATGACACCAATGACAGAAGCAAAGTGGAGCCTGGGGGCAGCAGACACCTGACCTACACCAGGAAAAGGTGGACTTGAGCCCCTCACATGCCTCACACAGACCAGCAAACAGATTCAAAGCCCAAATGCTAAGCTAACAACACCGCAGAACACTGGAAACCCAATGAGACCAGCCAACTGGATGAGTCAGGGACAGACGTCCTCACGAGAGAAGTCTCTTCTCTGAAGCTCCCAAAGATGGAAAACGATATAAGTGGAGAACATATGCATCGCCTCTGGTTCAACACTCAAGATTTATGAAGAGCCCTGAAAACTGGTTAAAAACAAAACAAAAACAAAACACAACTAACAGAGGAAAGGCGCACAGAAAAGGAAGGGTGACTGGACAAAATGTACAAGATGCTCATTACAGGGAAGGAGAGAAAGCATGGCAGGAGTGCGCTCAGTAAAGCGGCCAGATCAGTGCAGGTCACTGGCTTCAGAGCGCAGGGACAGGCACACGGCTTCCACGCGACTCCCCCTGGCCCCAGGAGGCACGGCCACAACAGCGAAAAGTGGGAATCATCCACAGGGAAGCAAGGAGGTAAGCACACTGCAGAGACCCAAGACACAACAACAGACCCACGAGCCAAGAGCAGGTTCTCAGCAAACCAGGAGCCCAAAGTGAGGACAGGCCACCGCATGCCGTGCACACACTGCTGGTGCAGAAGCATCTGTCTTCGGTGTGCTGTGTGGTTGTGAGCACGCACAAGTATATGTGTGTACACTTGAGCACCGTGTGTACAGGATCGAGTACCTCAGAGGGCACAGTCTGACAGAAGCACAGCCTACAGCTGTCTTCACTGTCAGGACAGCACAGGCCAAGCTCCACATCTACCAAAACAAATCCTTGGTCTGCAGAGACAGACGTAACAGAAGCTCATTTCAGGGGCTGGCAGGAGAGGCCCTCACTTACCGAGGGACAGGCCGGCATTTTACACATAGCCAAGCTTCCTCATCCCTGGAGGGTGTCATGGGGGATCCCATGGCGACCTGCTCCCTATCCAGGATGCCTGTCACCATCCCCACCTTACTTGAAACCCTAGCACTGTGCTTCTGGGGTCCACCTTCACTTAAACTGCACATCTCCAAATGTTAGTCCCAGGTACTGCCCTCAGTGGGAAACCCTTATAGCCTGTGTGAGAACCCTCAGACACTGTCTCCTACCCAGTTCCCACTAGGCCTGTGGTTGGTCATGCAGGGTAGCCCCTCTGTCTGCCTCCAGAAGCACCACAGAGGACCAGCATCCCACCGGGGCTGGGTGAGCAGGGCTCAGTGTTCTCTCAGGCATTTTGGCTTCTGCATGTGCACCTGCTCCTGCGGGGCTTCGGCAGCAGCCTGTTCCCACTCACCCTGGTCATAGGCTGAGACTCTGACACTAACTGAGGGAGCCTGGAGTTGAGGGAGGTCTGGCCCTCTCCTCCCTGTGCTCCCCTGTGGGCAGTCTAGAGACACTCACTCTCCATGGGCCCAAGCAGCCTCTCAGTGAAGGGCAGGGCTCCTTGACCCTGCTGGGGCTCACAGTAACCATGAGCTTCTTGAAGAATCCACAACAGTCAACTCTTTTCTTTTTGGAGGCAGGATCTCACTTTGTGGTGCAGGCTGGCCTTGAACTCATCAGTCAACTCATTTTTAAACTCAGACAGTGAGAAGACAAGAGGTGTGGTATGAACTTGGCTCCAGCTCTGGCTGACACATCACCTGGCCCTGAAACACCTGAATAGGTTTGCTGGATTTGGAGAAAGGAAGAGCAATGACAACCCCAGGTAACTAAGAGAACAGCACTGCCACCTGGGCAGGGCAAGGCATGAAGGGAAAACCTCAGCCCACAGTCTGCATGCACATATGTGTATGTGTGCATAAACGTACATGTGCCAAATGCCCACTGCACATCTGACATAAGTGAGCAAGGGCTCCAGTCCAGGGAATTCAGCCCCACTGTCTGCACGTCATCCTGCCTCAGACTGGACTTCTGTGGCCTGAAAAGGTCAGGATGGCACCTGAGGTCAAGGACAGGTCAGCTACAGCCCTGTGAGCACTACCCAAGCTGCACACTCATGTCCTGGTGGGAGCACCTGGCATCTGCAAGACATGAGATGAGCAACTCAACAGTCACAGTCCTCCAGCGAGGGGGTATGGAGGACTGGTCAGGATCTTGCCAGCCCAATACCTCCAGGGCCAGGCAGGGAGCCAAGTCATCTGCCAGGAAGAATGGCAACCAAAGGCGATTCCCAACCAACACAGTGACCTGCTTTGGGTTCCAGGGACTCCATTAATGGGAAGCGTGGAGAACCACATTTCGAGGAGAGGAGGCTGCACCCAGCTCACTGCTGCCCTCTGGGCCCAGGATTGGCAGCTGACCTTGGGGCTTACATGAGAAAGGGAAGAGCTGGTTCCTGGGAGCTGCTTCTGATACATGGACCTGTTCATCCGCAGTGACTGGTCAGAATACTGAAAGCAGCTTGCCTGGCAGGAACAAGCCCCCCATCCAGGGGCCAAGAACACTCCAGGAAAGATGACATAACAGTCACTGTGGATAGTACAGGGGCCTGGTGAGCCTGGGAGCCTGGACTTCATAGAGACCCAACAGTCACTCCCAGGCCATTAGCTTGGGCAGCAGACGCTCTGGGAGCACTCACTGAATTCTGGCACTGTCTCTCTCTGTCAGGTGCTCC